TCTCTCTCTCTCTCTCTCATCTGTGATAAAATTTTCGAGAAATAGCATTGCGAGCGACGTCGATGATCGACTAGCTCAAAGTTTCCTCACCGTTATCCCTCACCGTCGTTCAACTAACGATCTGATGAAGAATCAGACCCCGACGAAGAAGTTGGTTGGATGCGCGGAGGAAAATCGGTGTCGAGAACTTTACGGGTTGTTGTAGTTTCAAGGACACCATTAGTGCCGTCTTCATACAGTCACCCGTTCACCGGATATTCGGCCGGGATGAATAAACGTAACAGGAGGTCGCCAGATAAAATGAGAGACTATTAGGTTCAAGGGCGTTATAGATGGTTTAAGTTTCAAGAACGCTGAAAGTAGATCGATACCCTAAGAAGTTATCTCTTGCTTCCGGATAAATTAAACGCCCCTCTCTCTCTCTCTCTCTCTCTCTCTCTCTCGAGACTTCGTTTCGTCTAATTAAATCCTCGCGTCTAGCCTGCCCTGCTTCGCGTTTCATTTCGACAATCCTACTTGTTCCTTTATTTTTTTAATTATCGTTCATTCAGCATTCGTCCAGCCAATTAGATTACTGCAGACGAGAACGAAACGTTTCTCCGACGCTTGTGAATTCGGACGGATCGATATCGCTCGTGCAGATCCTGCCTAGTGTCATTAATTATTATTAATTATATCACGCAGGCTGAAATCTGCTGCACAAATTCTTACTGATGCCGTTCACAAGCTGTTAATTTAGTACAGGACTTTCAGATTATTAGGGAAACGAGGAAAAATTTCGTTACATTCGTGCAGAAAATATTCGAGACTCAAAATACGACTCAAGGAGGTAATCTTTTAACTCCACGGTCCTTTAAGTTGAATCTTATTGGAGGAAAAATTTAATAAAAAGAATCCAAGACCAACAAATGTGATGTAAAAATTCATATTAAAATATTGGAGTAGCAACACTTGTCGTATAATATATTCCAGCCCAATAAACACATATTCATTAACAGATAGAAATACCACGGAACGTGATCTTAAAATAAATATTACAAGATTTGATTTTTAAGAGAGATATGTACTGTGAAACTAAACTTTAAGGTATGATGTGAAGAAAAAAAAAATTTAATCTTGAGATATATATATATAAAATAACGAGAATGAGAAAGAAGATACCTGAGGAGTGATGGTCCACGCATGTGCCATAGTGATGCCCTCCAAATCGAAAATTACGTCGCCGCCGAGGATTTGTGCTCTAGGCTCCAATACCCCAAGTTCAAGGATGATGACTGTGGCTTTAAAAATCTCCTCCACGCCGTACTTCCTTGGATCCCAATTTCCCAGTCGATAGATCATTATCCTCCTGCCATCCTGTGTTCTGTACGGTGGCACTGACATCACATCGTCTTCGCCAATGTGCTTCATCTCTGGTGGACACACATCTTGATGGATCTCCGGGTGTTCCTCTTTGAAGTTGCAATAGTTTACGATCTATCGAAAGATGTCTTAAGACAAAGGACTGATGTTTGATCACGTTAACAGAGCGAAGGGCATGAACTGAATTAACAATCACGAATCATTTTGTAGAATTTTTGAGGAACATTCTCTGCAATTGAAATTAACTTAAATAATTTAATAAACATTTTAGCCTTTTTATCAAACTGTAGCAAAGTGTAATTTTTGTATGTTACAAATGTTTCAATTATATTTACAATATCACTATTTTAATTCGTAAACCATTAATATACTTTGAAAATATATATTCTCCATTTTGGATGAAACATTCGTTTTGTCGAATAGATTTCTTCGAAATTCTTTTCATATAATTTCACGAAATACAAAATATCATTCAATGCTAATGTAATTAATGTAGTTACTGATTCAGTTTGTGCTCTTCACTATAGGCAAGACTTTCTCGCGATTCGAGTTATTAAGAGTTTGTTTCCTAGTCGAGGCACTGATTAATATTATAGCAACCTAGATAACATGATGGAAGATGTTTCAGTTTTGTAACCAAGTTTCGTGCAACATTGTTCGGAACAAGGGAACCCAAGTCCTTGTCTTTTCAAGACAAAGTTCCAAACTCATGCGAATACAAAATTTAATTAAACACCAGGACTTCTTTATATTCTGCTCGCGAATTTTTATGCAAATTCATATTTTTTGGAATATATTAAAAAAAAAAGAAAAACAGTGTCGCGGTACAAAATTCTTTTACGTTCTTAGAAATTGTTTCTTGTTAATTGGAATTGTTCTTCATACTGTGCTTTTAAATTCCTCATAAACGTAAAAATCCGCGACTTGCTAATAACGAAAGAAAACTCCTCTCATGTCAACCACGCCTCGTAGCATTAAAATGATTTCGAATCGCTCCACAAATCTAACCACCGTTCGTCAAACATGGAAACCGAACAAACCGGACGGAGGCCGATCAATAATTGATGGCGTTTCAAAGAAATACCAGGGGGGAAACGAACACGATGGCGTTTCTTTCAATCCGTGAAAGAGACGAGGCATCGGCGCAATTATTTAAGAGTTTCGCGGTTCGTTTTAACGGAACGAAAAGCGCTGCGGCTTCGAGTAAATGTTAAATCGACCCTGAAAATGCTATTAACTTTGTTAATGACCCACGAAGAGACGACACGCGAAATTCGCGACACG